ACGCTTAAGGCCGATGTCAGACTTTGCGAATCGCGCGATTCGCTAGCGTCTGCGGTCGCGTCGCGGCCAGTGAATCACTCAATTGGCTGGTACCGCAACGCGACCGCGGACGCTAGCGAATCGCGCGAATCGCTAGTAGCGAATCGCGCGATTCGCAAAGTCTGACATCGGCCTAAGGCGCCGACTCTGCGCCTAGTACGCGTTGTGCCAGAGTGCCAGTCGCATACCTCCACGGACTGTGCAGATGGCGTCCGCGGACGGCGCAGACTATGAAAGCAGCCTTTGCGACTAAATCGGCCCCTGTTATGCTGGAATAGCATCATTTTTACAGTGTTTGTATAAACTTGACAGATTTTTTATTAGGTTGTGGTTGGTACTGCGCCTACAGCTAATCATCCTCATGCACAACCTAGTCATACCGCTTATGTGACGTATAGCAAGGTCGAGGAAGCTTTGAGAGCTATACAGGTACTTACCAGCCATATAGCCTTCAAATGCTTTGGTCAAAGCCAATTTGGCAATGCTTCTTCAAGGAAATCATTTAGGCTGTTTGTAATGCTCAACTAGATGGTCGAATAGTAAAGGCCTCGTTGGGTACAACGAAATATTGCTCTTCTTTTTTACGGAGTCAGAAATGCTTCAAACCGGTAATGTATTTTAATTTTACCAGTTGTAATAGTTTTCATTATTGGAATGGATCTGGAAATGTGGAAGCAATGGAACTATCAAATGGCCAATGGCCGCTTGCTCTGTATTGAGCTTCCATATTCATGCACTAGTTTGTTTATCCGATCCGTTTTAATTTACTTGTGGTGTCTGCGAATATCTGAAAGATCGTTTAATGCTTTGTGATGGCTTGTGTTTGCTTTATTTGTCACCTCTTCAGGAGTGTATGTACTTGCACGAAATAGCTGATAGCGATATCAGCTTCACAAAGGAGGATATGCACATGGGCAAGCACGCTGAGTACGAGAGGAGGTATGTTATATAGCGCACATCTGTTAAGTTAGTTCTAGGGGGAAGCTTTGTGGTAAGTATCAGTGGGTGCCGAAAGGGTGCATACATAGTCGGTCGTTCGGTTGTAACGATCGCATAAGCCGCGGTTGCATAGGGGAGGCGACGCGGTGATCCAATGTGAACCCAAACACGTGACGGTGCGTCCTGGCATTTCGAAAGTCTGATTGTTCGAGTTTGGGGCAGTAGATGCGTATCGATCGTGTGACACATGCGATCGACGGTCGTTACGATCGGATGACCGACTATGCATGCACCCAAAGAGGGTGTGCTTGACTCTAGTGTGAAGTGCTTTTAAGTTGATGGCTGCGTCACAACTTACGAGCGAATAAATTAATGTCTTCATTTGATTGTTTTGATTGTTATATTAATTGGTTTGTTATTTAAGTATTTTGGTTATATTAAGAATATGGTAAACTCAACAAAGAATATGGAACGTGCTTTTTCTGGGGCGGAACACATTTATTTCACCAATAAGTTCTCATGGTTATTTATATACCAATCTAGCTCCGCACGCTACGCGCGCATGACACGGACGCCTTTGGTGAAACTGGACATTGTTGGGCTCCACCGCTAAACAAGAAGTTGCTTCGTTCAATTCGATGGCTGACCATTTTGGCTAAAGTTCGCTGTTTGATAAGCGCAGTGAAGTGCGGAGTTAAAATTATCTCTGTAAAAACCACCATGCATCGAATGTAACGATAATTTAGCGGTCGATTAATATTTGATGCTAATGATGTTGAAATGGAAATACCCACTACTCATTATCGGATTTCATCGAAAATTCACCATATTTTCTTAGGAACTATGGGGAGTCAAGCGGTGCAGTGATATTTGAGTATGAAGATGGCATCGTAATTGAAATGATATTGAAGTGAGATGCGCTATCTAAAATTTGGTTCTAACCATAGAACTCTACTTTTTTAGCGCCATATCGTTGTCATCACCTTGTTAGGCCGTATACATTCGGCGCTGCCACTGTGCTTAGAGCGTGGGGGAACATTGAAATGAGTGGGCCACTGATAGAACTTTGGACTAAGCTTTAGGGAGGGGATAGGATTTTGAGAGCAACCATCGTTCTCTCTCTTGTATTTATTCCCAGTCCTGGGCTTAGTCCTAGTGTCACCTACCAGCGGTTTTTGAATGCTCTGCTCTGAATGTCAGACATGACCGCCACATTTTCTCCTACCGAACATGTCAGAGGGTGCCAAATACGGGGCTTTGTGACTTTCGCACCTGGGGCGGTATTCAATCCTTCTCCCAGATGGATGCGTCCCCCTCCCCTTGACTCAGTCCTCGCCGGGAGACAAAAGGGTTCTGGTTATTTGCGGCAAAATCAACCGCCTACCTCTTGTATCTATCTGCCGGACAGTTAGAGCAGGAGCGCACTCCCCCACGGTTTGAAGACCCTACTTAAGAGGGCTCGCGCTTGTCTAACTTCTGGCAGATAGAAACACAGAACTGTGGCGGTCCCATGACGCAACCCTTTTTTTTGTCTCCCCTGAAGGGTGGTTCGGCGAAGGCGGGCGAGTCGTCAGTGTTCCCGCACAGTTTGCGGTTCTTGAATACTTCTTCGAAGCAGCCGCCTGCAGCAGCAGGAGCATACCTGGGCGACTCTTAGATGGCTTCCTCAGCGCGCCTTCCAGGTGTGAAAAAGTTCATGGCGTCCATCGCGTGGCGGTTACGTAGGAACACAACGCTTCACCGGCGCGCTTTCCTTTGATCTTTTACTACTGTACAATGGCTGGTGCCTGCGCCGACGTTCGATTTTGAGCTTCCAAAGATCTGAGTGGAAATGAAATGAATAGATTGAAAAAGGAAGTGAGCGAATCGCAGGTTCAGCGTTAGTTCTACGATCATTTTTCGCTTTGCTCTCTGCGCCGGCGCTGTTGGTCAGTACTGCTCTCTTTACTTTTTACTCTTCCGTTTGATGTTCAATTGTCTTCCATATGAACTAGTTCGTTTGAACGGCAACAGAGGTCGCGACTGCGATCTCAAGAAATGATCTTTTTGCTGAATGAAGTAGCATGATTTCTATGCAGTGACTGCAAAGTCATCACACTTTCGCGACTCGAAAAAGCGCGCTAAGCACGCCAATGCCTTGCAATGGCTCCAACGACTGCCGCCATACTACTGTTTGCGGCCTTCGCGGTGTGTGCTCTGTGGTTCAAATCTATTCTCTCGCGCATTCCACGTCATCGCTCGCGTTCATGTCTCTCCATCGTACCACGGGTAACTTCATAGGAAAAGAATGTATCTAATTCGTTGTTTTCTATGCTTCCTTTTGCATTTTTTCCCACTGATGTTACTCTTTGCACGATAAGCTACATATGTTCGCGTATCTCATTACGAACCTAGCGGAAAGTTTTAGCTGTGAACAAAGCTTTTGGCTTGAGTACAATTAACTAGTTATTCAAGAAAAATGAGGTTTCAAGTTCATTTATATTCATTTACAATGACTTTTAGGTTGATAGACACGGTATTGAATCGGTCATCGACACAGCCACAAGAAAAGCGAGCTCAGTAAGTTTATTTCCAACTACGTACTTCGAAATTTCATCAATCGTTCTGAATATTCCGCATTCCTGCATTTTTCAGACCGTGGGGTTCTAATAAGAATAATATATGCTGGGATCAAAATGGTAGCGAAACGAGCGAAGAAGCTGATCACGGACGAGATGGAGGATATAATGGTGGTGATGAGGTGAGCCATTGCTACTCATTGCCTTGGAGTTTGTACGTGGCGCCATGGCTACGAAATGGAGCACTTGATAAGAACTTAATGTGGCCGGGACGTTGTAGTTCGATACCGCATGCCGTTCTGGTATGTGGCTTCGTGCGCTTTGTTCCTTTGGTACATTGAGTGTCATACTAGTGCAATATCAACATTTTCTACGCCCCCATAGACAGCACATGTATGCATTCTGCTTGAGAATGCAGTTATGTTTTGCATCGGGTGTAGTGTAAACATTGATCTGAGATAATAAGCATTTGTAGCTGTGGCAATCTCGCTCATAGAAACTGTAATTATGTCGTTTCTTTGAGATCTAATTTATTTGCCCATAGTGTTCGAATAGCCTTGCCTTGTTCTTAACCTATTTGTACATATCTTGTTCCTATTAAAAAGACCATTATAGACAGCCCAATGTGCTGCGCTATTTGTCAAATGTTTGCTTAACAGCATAATTTTAGTCACCGTCTGGTGACCCAACGCCATCAGAAGCATTTGGATCTCGGGAACGACAGTCATCCACGCAAGACAAGGAGAACATACCGAAACGTGGCAAAGTTAAACAGGGTGCATCATCGTCTGCTAATCACACTCCGGCAGGATCAACGCCACCGTCTTCATCGCCCCCACGAGAACCAACGCCACCCTCTCTAGTATGTTTTTTTCGTGCACTGTTCGGATTAGACTTTCAGTTATTTGAATTTTCCGAATGTCTAGTGGTCTAGTCCCCGTTTTGACACATAGCTTGATAATAATCGTTTTTTTTCACTGATGAAAACCGGGTGATGTGGAAGTATTCCTGATGACTTTCGGATTCCGGGCTGCAGGTATCTGCATCATTTTCCCAAGCGCAAGGGTGTAGGAACCTGCGGTGGACGATCACATTGCCATAAATTGCCTAGGATGTGAGCAGGATGTGCGTGATGTAGGGCATACACCGGTCCTTATCAAAGTGCACTTGAAATGAGTCGTTTACCTATTATCTTATCCATAGGGTTAAAGTCCAAAGGAGTGCTCTGTAGTACCACGGATAAGGTAAAGAGAGTGCCCCCTTTCCTCTCTCTCTTCGGACTGGGAGTTTCACCCATTGTTGGAATGACAGGGAAATTAGTTTAAAGTTGACTCCGTTTTTGTTTAGAAGATTTCCGCAGTCGCTCGCCAGGCACCCGCGCGACCTAAGCTGTTCTGTGTAAGCCGTACCGATTTTTGCTGTACGCTCAATTCTTCTTAATATTGTGCTGTCCCGGAGCCTCATCAGCACCTAAATATTGTATAACACAGAGAGGCACCAAAATTTTATTTCAAAAGAATTCCAAAAGTTCACAAAATTCAAAATTCCAAAAAACAAGAAAGTTTGAAAAGAATTCCTTTGAATCTTCCGCGATATTTCGGTGTATAACACCTTCTTCAGGCATGTGTTTGCCACAGCCAATTATAAAGCTGCCCTCACGGGAGCCGCGCTGTTGGAGTGAAAAGAAAAGTTTTCTTAGTTTCAAAGGACAGCTTTATAATTGGCTGCATCTTATTGCAGTCATGATAGGACTGACTCACATCATAGCATGATGAATTTCTGTTTCGTTAAGCGGTAAGTCCGCCCCCTGCTTTCCCACCCACTTCTCCATCTGTCCTCCAGCTGCCACCACAGCGCAGTGTGAAATGCTGGAAAGTGTGCTCTTTGGGTGTAGCATAAGTAATTGACACTATCGTGACATCACGGAACTAATTTGGATCTCATGTTGTTAGGCCGGTTGGTTCGCGGCTGCCCCTGTTTCCCCTCCCTTCCCTTTCAATCTCTGGCCCTCAGCTGCCCGGCTCCAGCAGCCATCTGGAATGCCGAGAGTGTACACATTGTCACTGGAGTGCTTTATAACAGTCTATGAGGTTACCGCAATCATCACGAACAGAAAACATAATCCGCCAATAGCCTGCAAGCTCCAGTTTTTCTTATCCATCAACTGCCTCACCAGCTTATCTTGCGGACAACAGGCAGATATGCTTACAAACCGACACACCAAGTTAGCGATTCACATAGTAGAAGAATTGCGGCAGTTTTGAGCCTGCACCTAATTTGGCCCTCCTTTCCACCGCCTTCGGATAACTTAGCACAACCAAGTTAAAGGCAAAGTTCGGGCTCAGACCCACCTAAGAAGCCCTTACCATGGCTAGAAGTGCTGGGTACGCAAGTGCAAAGGTAGCGCCACCTTTCTACATCGAAACGCGTCACTAGGACCCTAGGCGCCATGGACTTCTAACAGACTCCACCAAACTTAACATGGTCCGCCCACCGTTCGATATCTTGTCTGCGTCGCCACGTTGATCTGCTATGCTCTCTCTTCTCGGACTTCTCTACCGCTCTCCGCGCTCACATTATCTCTCATCTCCCTGCCTGCCTTTTGAACTTCTCCGCAGCGTAGAGCAAAATGCTCGTATTTCCTGTGTATTTCACGATTTTCCCTTTTTTCTCCACTGGCGGTCCACCCATCCCTACTTTCACATTTGAGTGGAATCACCCCATCATTTAATCCTGATTCTTGCCTTTAAATTGGAACGTCATTAAACACAAAAGTAGAAAATTTTAAGTTTTCAAATTTGTCAGGTCATAGTTAATCAAAGGATTGAACGTTGGTTTTTCTTTCAGGTGCGCTTAATACGCAACTTCACTATAAGTAGGTCATAATTATTTTTTTACTTGCAGGATTATAAGGCTCCTCAGCTGGAGTCTGTTTCTGAAGCGAAACCACCTCCGTCCAAAACAGTGGAGCAGTCAAAGCCGTTTAATTCTATTTATAATCAGGATACAGAATCAAAGCTATTGCGGTAAGTCAAAAGGGTTTTTCTTTGTCATTTGAGCTACCACTGTACTTATCCTTTTGTAAATCAGTCAATATCGTCGTCAGCAGAGCGCTAAATTTTACTACTTTCAGGTTATTATGTGGTAACGAAGACAACGGGGCAGGCATGATTCCGGCACCTGCACCCGTAAGTGAGGCGCCTGCGCCTCTTGTAAATTGGCAGACATTATTGGGTCTTTCTCCGCAAGCCACAGCCGGTAACAACGCGACGCAAACATCGTATGCTTCTTCCACGCTACATCCGTCGACGACACCGCAGAAGTCGTTAGTGTCAACGCCACCGCCAGGTAATTGGACAGATTTCAAAATAATATCTTTTATCTTTTTTTCGTACGGTTGGATGTTTGATTGAAGCATTTTTTCGTGCTCCAAAAGAATCGATCAGTTTATCACTGTTCCATTTACTCGTATTTATTCGCCGTCATGAAGTGTGAAAATACGCAGACATTTACACAATGAAAACCTATGCAGAATATTTTTTTCCTCAAGAAGTCCATAACAAATCGTGTTGCGCTTGTTTCATAGAGCATCTAGATCATTTTATTTATGTCGGAATTCAATAATGTAATGCAGATCTCCCCTTCTCGTAAGTCAAACAAAATTTTTGATATGTAGGTAACAGGTTGGACACTGTCTGTCTTGTAATCCACTATTTTTGGTTGGTAGACATGATCTACTGGCTAAGTTGAATTGCCGTGGAGTTTTGCAATTATTTTTTCATTACAAGGGTATCGCAGTGAAGGACTGAAGTGCCTTAACCCTTTGACGACCGTGTGGTCCGCCGGTGGTGACTCGTTTTTGTGGTTTATGTTTGGGATTTTTTATGGTTTCAAACTAATTAACGTGATCGGAATCGGCGGAATAATGCGGCTAATTAATTCAATAATGATTTTTTGGGATAGTTTAATAATTTACTGATGAAAAAATTTTGAAAAGAATTGAAGTGGCGCATGCATAACGGCGGTCGTCAAAGGGTTAGAGCAAACTTCGTTTGCAGATGTTATCTCTCCGTGATAGTTCAAAAGCACACATGTTTTCTTTAAATTCGGAAAAGTAGTTACCCAAGTGTATTCAATTGTAAACTGATAGATATTTCTATCCGGCTCCGTTTGGTAATTTCGTGGCTGACTATAAACTATTACATATTCTTGCTGACTTGGAGCAATACCAGTGCCGTACATAAGTATTGACGCCCGCCACTGAAGATACCATAGCTGAACGTCGTGAAGTCCCCGACAGTCAGGCTATCCCATTGAATCAGCATGGACGAACACCTAATAATTACCAGCTTCCACGTGAATTGGAAGGAATTCCGACATTTTTCCATGAGGTGAACATTCTTTTGCCTGTATCAAAAGTATAGACGCACTCCATTAAGTTGGTTAAAATAATAGGCTACACATAGACAACTTTCCATTCCAGCAAACAAATAACTAGGGATGAGTACTCTGCACAATATCGAAAATGCCACGAGGTCCACATTCGTTAGAAGCCGAGTAGGTACAGGTTCGCGCCCTGTACACAGCGTACTTGAGCAATCGTCGAAATGTTGAACAACTGCAGCGTTCATCGAGGTCGATCGACCGATTTCTACATGAACTAGGATACTGCGGGAGAAAAGAAGAGTTCTGGGAGGCCGAAGAAGTCTAACTCCCAGCAGGACGTGCGATTAGACGCCTCGCTTCCAAGTCGACTAGCAGCATCAGTGGTGTTCGCGCCACCCTACCGGGTCCCTTGTCCAGAATGACCATATAGAGGACCATCAGGTGCAACAGCAACATAGACAGATGTCGTCTCCGCCCAGCTCTTCCACTTACCGACGCCTACAAGGAGGGTTGGCCCCAGTTTGCCAGGAGAGAACATGGCAACAAATCGATCGACGATAGGCGTCCTTCTCATAAAGCTCTCTTGGAGTCCGAATTATTCTGCTGGTTAGGTGGCTGAGAGCCACACTCATTCACTTGGGGGCTCAGACTGGAATGCAGTCTCTTTGGGCAGATCTCCGCAAGGAACTGAAGGTCCTCAGTTGACGTGATTTCGGTGGAGATAGCGTGGTAGTTTGGTAGGATTCCGGTGGAACTGAAAGCTAGAGATCACCTTCACCCTCACTCATATGGACTCGTCGGACTATCAGGATGTGCTACGTCGTCATCTACTTCCTTTTCTGGCACGTCCCGCCGAAGGAGAATTCGTTTTCAACAAGACAACGTAGCGACCCACGAGAGCAGGTCCACAAAATCGTGGTTAGAGGAGCGAATATAGTCGCCATGGGCTATCCTGATAATTATTCATAGAGAGCATCTGGGGCATCTTTGTCGGAGATGTTTACCACCACAGGGAACAACTTCTGATAAAGTGAGAGATCTTCAAGATGGCAATTGGTCAGGCATGGGATTGTTTGGATGCAATTGCTTGTATAGATTAGTTGAATCAATGCCAATCGAATTTTTGAAATCACTTTTAAACATGGAGGAACAATTAATTATTAAGAAGTTGTTATATGTTTGTTTTCATAACAAATCGATTAGATTTCGAGGTGGTCTATCTTTTTTGATCAGCAAAATAATGGTACCTATTTTAAAACAATACGATTTTTTCTTTAGTGAAGATGGTAACATAGGTTTTTCGCGGCCTGGATTTACGATAGGTGTTAACCTGTTCTGCCAAGTCTTTGGAGTGCAGCTGTGGTAATTTTAGCGGGCTGTGTCTATGTTGGTACGCAACTGTAGTAGAGCTTCACGAGATTGATGACATTATATATTTTATTGCATTTTTTTCGGTTTTTCGAATCGGAAGGTGGCATTGGATCTTGGTGGAGCAAGCTCTACTTCTGCGGTACACGGAATAAGCTGTGCTAGGATTCACAGACATTCGAATATGGACTTGTAATCCCAACACGTGTTTTAGGTCTTGGTGGGTTCACATCAGATGACGACCTTGGATTCGATCCATTCAGTGAGTCATCGAAAGGCTTGGCGCGATTGCTTGAAGAAGAGGAGAAGGTCAAACAGCCATCGTGAGTTCTATCAAAAAATCTTCCATGTGATTCTACTCTGAAGTTTTTGTTGATTCTCAGATGAGCGCATTCTTTTAGAATTGCCTCCTACATGAACCAGCATCTCCTCATGCAACAACATCACAATCATCTTCAGCAGCAACAACAACATCAACAACAGCAGGCATTTTCGTTACGGGATTTGTGGAGTCGTCCTTCGTCACTGTTCTCCTCGGTGAATTCGGCTCAACCGCATCAAGGATCACCTCTGGATATGTTTGCCGGTTTGATGAACAGCCATCAGCAGTCACAGCAACAGCAACAGCAACAACAACAGCAACAGCAGCAACTGCATCATCATCTACATCAGCAGCCCAATCACCATCACTCACAACATCATCAAACCCATCAGCCGCAACATCGACAGCAGTTTGATCCTTACTGTGCACCTCCTCCCGGGCTTACACCGCCACAACGGTCAGCGATGTCGTCACAGTCGATTTCCGATTGGCAGGAAGGTTTGAAAGCACTCCTACCGAATGTGAATGTACGTTTCGTGAGCGATCTCGAAGGTGCTCACAACGGTAGCAGTCTGCATCATCTTCACCAACAACACGCCGCCGCACACCATTCGTCATTCGGTGCAAGATGGCCGCCTTCAGCCTACGGTCTCGACGTCAACGGCCGCACAAATCCACATCACATCGTTCCGCACGCTGTTCCGCCACCACCCGGTTTCTCGGTGCCGAATCGATGAGTCTGGCGAGAAGCATCGACCACAATCTTCCTTTCCCGACCCATCACCTTGTCCCCTTCCCTCTTCACCCAACGGATTTCTTCCTTGACACCGTGACGGCTTGGTCGTGTAGCGAACAGGCTACATTGCCGCTGTCGCGTGTCATCCTGGCCTATTTCAACTCTGTCACCCCTGTCCACCCACTCCCTTGATCCTTGTAATGTCTCACTTTCGGTTGTCAATAAACCCTCGCTAGTCGAGTTACGAGGTCGCGTGATGGCGTTTCACGTTAAGGGTTCCGCCATCATCGACCTCGATGGGGCTCTTTGAATGAATATTTTCTTTTCAAAGGTGTTTGTTAGTGTTGATTGTAAAGACATGACATATCGGGGTGAATGATGCGAACGACTCACAGGGAAGGCTCGAAACATCTTATTCGTAATATTGAAGAAGTTCCGTAAGATTAGCAAGGCCACCAGTGTGGGTTTTCTGGAGAGGTTTGGAACGGGGTTTCGTTTCTTGATTATGTCTGATTTGAGTACCGTACTTGAAATCATTTCAGAATGTTTAGAGCTCCTAAATCTTGTTCGTGGGTAAGGCTAGGAATTAGAGCACGGCGTCCATGTGCTCTTGTATGAATTTACATCGGACGGTATATAGGAGGCTGTTTTTACGAAGCTGTTCCATGTTTTCTACCCAAGGACTGCCTCGCTCAATTTTTGATGAAATACCGGTCAATTTATGACATGAATACGGGCTTAGTGATTTGCATTGGGTAATAAAACAAAAAAAAATGAAATGAATCATAAAAAAGACATTCTGAACGGTCCTCTCCCCACTTTTGTGCTTGGTTTCGCTTGCATTTGGTAGCCTACCATGATGCTAACTCCGGGGTCAAGAACTGGGGTCAAGAAGTTTTAAAGTTCCAAAAGTGTACCGGTTCCAGGGTATACGCTTGTGGCTACGTCGAGAGAAAATGAAGTGGGGCGGTGTCGTCATTGTACAAAGCCTTGAGGAGGTTGCTGTGGCTACAGGTTGCATCCAATCCATATTGATAGCCAGGGGCCTTTCGTAGTCATGAGTGTTTCTCCCTGTGCGATATTAATTAAGCAGACTGGCTGAAGTATTTTATATTAAGTAACGCAAGTTTGGTACACATTACGAATGCAAAAAAATTATCTTGTGAATCAGTTGAAAAAAAAAAATAACGCAGGCGATGTGGCACAGGGAGGAGGATGTCGCCTGACTTTAACTAGGGGGGCACTTGTTTAGAAGTTCAAATCCTGAAACGTGCACCTTGGAGGTCCTCCAAGGTGTTCATTCTACAAGGCCATTCAATTGGTACCAGACTGCCTGGGGAGATAAAAACACTGACTTGGGCATTGTGCCAGCAACGCATTGTTAGGCTGAATAGATTCAAATGTCCCTGTAATTCGCAATGGAGCCAGGATTCCTGGCACATCACGGACGGCATTGATTAACGCCCTATGTTTTTTTCTTTGTCCTCGATGAGTAGACACATGGAGGTTCAGGCTTATAAAAGTTAAAAGAGCTTGTCCGGTGGCCAATTAATGTCCGGTTGGGTAATTTCTGCGCCAAAGAAGATTCAGTTCGTGACACTTCAATGCTGGCGCTATAGCTTTTATGATTCATTCCCGTACTTGGATGACCTGCCTCAAGTTGAGCAGGGAACAATGGAGATTATTCCTGATCTGTTTTTAAAGTAATTGTCTCGCAAGAAGTGGTCTACAGATGAGCCATGTGATGATATGAAATACTCAGAACGACAATTATTATGCCTTAGTCATGTGTGATCCATTTGCTGTGGACTTCGACGCTGCTCTGGCATTAGAACGTTCACCCGATGGTTCAAGCAACGACGATTTTCATGGAAGTCTAGACGATTTCGAAAAAGCCCTGGTCGCTGAAGAGCCATTAGTTGCTCAGATGATCTGTGAACTAGACAAGCCATCGGGGGCGAAGAGCAAGAAGTAAAAGTTGTTTTGTGAAGTTTTTTGATGTTTTTTGTTCCATGAAAAGTCACTAGAGATCTTTAGGCAGCAGAAGAGGGATAGAGTTGTTCGTCTGGAGGAGATGACAATTGGTGGCCGGAAACTATTCGAACCACGAGCGCAGCCGACGGCAAGGTGCGAAGTTTCTCAAAATATTTTCTTCTTGACTCACTCATGATCGTAAATAGGAAAGGGCCAGACGGGTTTATTCTTCACTCATGATTGAGCCGAGTGCCGAGTGCGTTCAAAGCAGCTCCAAGTCGTTACGCCAAGCTCCTTCGGTTTCTCTGCAGTTTTTTTTGCTTCATTTCCTACTAATCTCCAAGATGCTGGACATCCTTTCACAATTTTCGGCGCAATGTGGCTCCGGGGGGGGTAGCCTGTAAGGTCAGATTCACGAAAACTTTCAGTTTTGGGACTAAGCTTTGGAGGAAAAGAGGGAATCCGAGCTGCGTAAGCAATTTTCATTCGCTCCGGAATTCGTCCAATCTGCGTTAGGCTAGTCCTAGTGGCCCTTCGACAGCCCCCCCCCCACCCCGGAGGCACATTGCGCCCAATTTTCTTTGTTGCAGTAAAGTCCCAGTTTAGGCGAGGCAATCTTGTAACTATATACGATCAGTGGTCTACAGGTCCAATGTCGTTGCTTTATCAAGCTCTGAAACACTGCCACAGAATTGAGGTCGAGTGAGCGAAATTCCAGTTCTCCTTATTGATCGCAATGAATCATCGTTCTGGTTCCCTAACTCTCACAAAAACATCTCCTCCAGTCGTTCAGGTTCACATACGTGCCTTAAGTCGAATCGATCGAATTGCAAGAGGGTACTTGGTCGCTTTTGATCGCCATATGAATGTTGTGCTGAGGGATGTGGACGAAATTGCGCTACCAGGGCGGTAGGTGTTCTAATTGTTAAGCAGTATTCTCCTTTATGTGATCGTTTTTAAGTAGACAGTGCCATGTGGCAGCATAATGGAAACGTCACCGCCCAAAGCTTTGTCACTGCAATCATCAATATATGAGAGTTTCGCCTGGGAGGTGGGGGGCGGTATGAGCAGATGCAAAACTGACCACAAGTGCCACTGTACCTTCGCGCTAACGCGTTTATTCAGAATGCTCTACCCATTTGTAAGCTCAGGGTGACTTTCAGGGCGAATGCCTGCCGCTTCACGTTTTATTCTCCAAATACGCATATCTGACTTACCATCCATTGTTCACAAGAGGACACTGTTTGGTCGACGAGATACAGAAGACGTCTGCGCCTGGATGCAATGGCAGCGGGTGCGAGTGCAGTCCTTGGGCGAGTGTTCTACTGTGCTTCGACGTCATCTGCGTGTCATGTAAGGGGGATACTGTGTGTATGTCCGGTTGATTCATTGAGATTTGATACTCAACATCGGTTTTTACTCAGGTTCTGATCTTGCCCTATTTTATTTTGATATCGCTATTTTTAATTTTGTCATTTTTCACCTATCCTATAGCAACTCATTGGAAGTCACTTGCTCTCGTTGATTTGTTTGTTTCGTGACATATGAAGTTGAGGATATGAGAAGATGTAATAAATTGTGAAGAAAAAAGTGGTCAATATTTACATGTCATTTCATACACGCGTAAAACGATTCAGGCGCAAAAAGAGCTTGGAGGCGTTTGCTTTAACCCTTTCGGCCCTGGCGGTGGCAATTGCCACCACCAAATTCAAACGCTTGCATTTCCGCTGAAACAGCATGGTTTTTCTAATCCTGCTAGAGTTTGCTTCAGTCAACCTTCCCCTTCCTAATTATGAGCTTAACCGGCCATTTCATTGTTTATTGCTGTTAGTATTGCAAGTATTTGTGTACAAGTGCAACAGTGAATGGGCGCTGACCCCCGCAACCGGCCAAGTAAGTGTGACTTTGTCTTAAAATACTTGAAGTGGATCCATTCCTAAATCAAAATTATGGGTTATAATATTATGCAAGATTATAAACTTTTTCGGCACAACTATGAAACTTCGAATTGTTTCGACATAAGCTTAAAAACTAAGAAGGTGGGCCAATTTTCAAAGCTTCTCAGTTTCTTTGTTTGTGATCGAATAGCTTCCAAATTTCGCCATAATGATACCTATATGCTCACAAGTAAAAACAATAGCTAGAAGTAAAATTTCTCACGGGCGAAATTCGGCGAAGGTGTTTAAAATGCCGGTGGATCGAGACAATAACCTGCCCAAAAGGACTTCATTATTTTTTAAAATAGCTGTTCGATCGATAAATGACTTTCATAAGGTAGTTATTCGAGTCCAAAGCAGCCCAGACAGCAGTTATTGAAGCAGTAAGCAGTTAATCTTCACAGCATGTCTACGATTCCGAATGAGAATCGAATGTGTGGCGCATTCCACTTGTCGTATATCTTGCGTGAACTCTTATAAAGCGATGGTTTTACGAATCTTCCCGAACACCAGGCAACTTGGTTTTGTAATTTTGCTCAGGTGTGCGAGGAAGCGTGTCCAGAAAAGAGCTGCCTGATAAATTGTGGATCAACTAGTTCCAAAAACATTCCTCCAGTCGCCTCTCGAAAACGACAAACGAAATCACCCTCTTCCTACATTTACAGAAAAAAAATCAGGCTGCTAAAGAAGCTGTTACAAGTTGTGGTTACTGGATTGTTCTTCCTCAATGGTTTTATCACTGATGATCGCAATTTTAGAGAATCTCTTCAGTACAGTACTCGATGGAGAACAAGCGATCTTATTGGATACGAAATAATGTAGCCCTAACCATTTAATTGCTCTGAAAATAACACTAAAACCAACTATGAACGCATATTGATCAATAATATTTCTCTTTCACACAACCGTAATATTCATAATCTAGAAAGGGTCACTTGGAATACAAAGAGCTCAAACGAAAATTTAACAAATGTCCACAGGAAAAATAACATTTCCGATGTGAGGCACAATAGAATTAGCAACTTGTAACAATGAAGTTCTGTATAAAGAAAACAGCAAACAGCGGATTCGATACACAAAAAAACTGCAGGGAGAAGCGTTAATAAGGGCGATAGGAGCCCATCGCATGCTATCTGTCCTCACGGTCAGAGAGACGCAAAGAAACATCCTTCCGCCCCTATGCAGGATCGCCTTAGTAATCAACAACTGACGACGAAAATAAGGACAAAAAGGACAGGGCTTCTCGCCATTACTGACGAGACTTTCATATGCACAATAACAACGGCGATTCACTGGTACAAAAGAGCTAGGAAAATGAAATATCACCTAGGAATTAGCCCGATAGTTACAAAACGAAGAAAGCATAAAGATAATGAAAACATTTGAAAAAAAAACAACGAAAGTACGTAGTTACCCAATTTTGATAGGTTTCATTTTCTGAAGGGGATCACACAAAAAGCTGGCAAAGAGATAGGGAAATAGCAAAAGGAAAAGATTCCAACAATATCCATTTAAAGGCTTGCAAAAAAGCGCGGCTACAAGGACTTGCTGTTGAAGGCCTCAAACTTCACCACAATTTGAACCCATTGTTAAGTTTCAAAGCTCAAATCGAAATCAAATTGTAGTAAAAACAGCGCGCATGTTCAAAACATGGTGATGTGACGGAATAGCACATGAAGGCATTGAAAATACAACCCTACTATGAAGAGAAATGAAGCATATACCGCCCTGTTGAGAAACAATTCGTTCGGAGTTGAATACAGCACCCACTATGTAGTGATGAAGATAGCAAACGCCTTCAAGGTGGATTCATTCCGCGCAGCTGGCCGAACTAGAGGATGTGGTTGCTGCATAAGTAATATTTCAAAAATTTCTTTCTTTACCCCTTCAACAGCACCTACATCTTGCTCCCTGTAAATGGTATGCTGACATCATCGTTGAGTTCAACGACACTCATTATTTGTATTGAAATTTATATTTCTACCAAGGGAGCCCACCACCTTATGTCTGTTGTTGTTGTTGTTGCTGCTGCTGCTGGGCTAACCGGATTTTGTCATACATGAGCAGCAACTGCTTGTCAAGTGCTCGAGACTTCAGATTCTCCAGCATTGACAGCAACTCCAGTCCTAATTCACCAGGCATTCAGTGAACGCACGGCGACCGAAAATTCTTCCGGGTGGGCTTGACGAAGGGTTTGCAGCGTCGAGGCAACTTCATGTACAACCTAAAAACAGGATTGGTTCATCTTTACATAATTCCAAGACTTAGAACAAAAACTGTTCTGTAACGAGGAGTTTCAGGTTCCAAATTCTCACTCACCACAGTACTTCCTGCATCGGATGAGCTAATATGCGACAGCGAAGGTACTTCCAGCGCCGTACGCAGCGTTCTTTGCCACCATTGAGCATTTCCAGCCGAAGTTCGACTAAGGGTAGCCAACGCTAGTTTCTGGCAGGATTGATCGCTGCTAAGCGCCAATTGAGTAGCTGCTTCTTGGAGGTCATCGAAAAGTGTGCCTTAAAATAATGTCGAAATAGTATGAAAACAAAAAAAGCTTGCAAGTCTTACGGCTAACTTCATTCAGTCACATTTTCAGGGAACCTGACAGAAACATAACTACCTGTTGCAATTTCAGCCAACATATCCGAGGTTGTTGATGTGTAGAACAATTGAAGGAAGGCACGCCGTACATAGATTAAGTTTCGGTACGCAGTCTCATCTGCAAATGGCATTATCTAGAGAAAATTAGCCAATAACTAACCAGAACGTACCTTGAGCTCGTAGTGCAGATGTTGGCTCAGTTTCCATTGATAGGCGAGCTGCTGAAGCGAGAATTGCACCGAAATCGACACCCGATCGTAGGCATTCTTTCTAAAGTGAACTCCACCCTTCAATGAAATCAATAATTCTTAGACCAATAATTCACAAAGAAACCATTGCTCAGTCATGGGTGCAATTCTAAGCAACAACCTTGAACTTGGCGACAATTTGGTGGCTGAGGATGAGTAAGTGATTCATGCTATCCAAGTCAGTTGAAACCTAAACAACATTTTCACTGCAATAAATCTTAACAAAAGGCAACTTCAACTTCAACTTCATCATTCTCTTACCGCTGCTAAAGCGGACATCAGTGGAGGCAGTATCGGAAGAAGTTCGGAATCAAGGCATACCACCAGCCGATGTGCCAACTGTCTGACGGACTCTAGCAGGAATGCATTCTCAGCGTTAAGATGACCAAGGAACAACTGAAAATAGGAATTTTAAGATCCTTTTTACACAGTGAGCCCCTTCCCTACTTTTCACAGGCAAAGCGCGGCGGAAGAAATGGAAGATTTGCACGCGCCGCTATCAAATACCTCAAATGCCTCTTCTTCACCGTCACGGCTAAGCAAACGAACACATTCGTGAGCTCCGCTATGACGTCATGGGAACTGCCCTTTAAGACTAATTAAATTACCCTCTATATCCCTGAGGATGATTGAATAAGAACTAGCGACGGGAATCAGTCGAAACAAGACGGATATAAGCCACTGGCAGATTTTTCAGGGTTAAACTCACATTGAGAAGGCGCATGTAAACGTCGACGCATCTGCACGATTGCATCGAGTTCGCGTTATTGAATGCCTTCGAGAGACGACTGCAAAAGATCAATTAAACCCCAAAACTTGACTCTTTATAAGGTTATTTTGCGACAGCTGTAGCAAGTTTGTGACAATGTAGTTGATATCAATGTTGTAATTGTTACAATTGCGCAACAACGTTCATAGCATGAGATCCTGGACTTGACCAAATCGCTTGCCGGACAACTCTCAATTAGTCCAGAACATGCCGAAAACCAGAATATTTCCGTGTGATTAAAGGAACAATAACGACAACGTTTGACAGTTTCAGTGGTGCAGATCTGCGTGGCGCTGATAGCGTAAAATAATTATAGGAGCAAGAAACTACGTGACTGTTACGAAATAATATACAATTGTAACTTGAAATGCAATCCACTCCAGGAGCAGTAAATGGTGTAAAACACTTGAATGCCCCAAACATTAGAAAAAAAAATTGAAAAAAGAGAAAAAAAGAAAAGAGAAAAGGAAGAGGACTTAGAAAGGAAAGGAAATAGAGACCACCTTCGGAAAGTATTTCTTATATGGACAAATAAAAATATATGCAAATAAGGGACAAGAATTCTGGCGATAAGTATGGTAGCCAGACATTTCCGACACTCGGACAGCCACAACTAGGTCAAAGTGACTAGGTTCATATCAAACCCTTAAGTAGTTCCCATTGCCAATTTTTGCTTTTCAACGCCCGATCAATTGTAAATAAAATTGAGGACCTGAAATTTATTTTGCGCGACAAACCCGATGGGGTCTTCATTACCGAGAGTTGGTGCAAACCATCGTCCACCCATGACGCTATACTGAGTCAAGGCTCAAATTACAATGTTTACCGATGCGATCGCGTGAGGGCGAAAGATAGGGGTGTAGTGATTGCACTTATCAACTCTCGCGTTTCCCATGTTTTTGTAACCAAAAAGGACATTAACGGCCACATTCAATCAGTTGCTCTTCAACTCAATTTCGCTAGACAAAAAATGCTCGTAGTTCTAGCTTATCGCAGCCCCTCATGTGACAATCCTTCTCTTTTCGAGTTTATTGAGTTTCTAGAGAGCCTCTATGCAGAACGCAGTGATCAAATTTTGATACTAGGAGATTTTAATTTCCCCTTAATTGACTGGGAGCATCATGGCCATAGAAATAATGCGTCATCACCATCTTCTGATGCGTTCCTTAGTTTTGCTCGTTCTTTCCATTTGAAGCAAATGGTTCATGAGGCTACCAATGGACTCAACATTCTGGATATTGTGTTGGTCTCTGAGCCGTCCATAATAAGTAAAGTTCGTGTGCTTCCTCCATTTAGCACATCAGACCACAATTCCATCAGTTTTGAGGTTGCTGGCACGCTCGCCAGCCGTTCGAGCAAATTCAAGTCACCCCCCCCCCCCCCCCCCCCCCTCCACTAAGATTCTTTTCCAAAAGGGTTATGTTTGGTTCACATAACATGAATTACTTTCTCAAATTGACTGGATAAGCCTTAGTAATTCCTGTGAAAATATTAACGCATTTTATAGGGAGTTCATTAACATATGCAAGTCTTTGATTGAGAAGTTTGTTCCAATAGTTAGACATAAAGATAAGCTTGAAAGATGATATCGAAAGCGCATTTTTTCTCTGAATTGAAAGTTGATCACCTTCACTCTATTCACAAATCTGTTTACAACGCTGAATACAAAAAGTACTCCAACAAGCTCAGAAGAGCTCTTGTTCGGTATCAAATTTCGAAGGAAAAGGAAATAGCCTCCTGCAAGAATACGAAGCGCTTTTTCGGTTACTGTAGAAGTCGTCTCAAGTTAGCTTATGGCATACCGAATCTTATTTCCGACGGTGTCACTATTGTTGATGACAAAGCTAAAGCCGACCTGTTCGCGGCATATTTTGAGTCTGTTTATAGAGCTTCTTGCGACACAAATGAAACCTTTGCCTATCAGAACAAATGATGTTCTCAACTGGGTGGATATAAACTGTAACGTAGTTTACGCCGCTCTGCGTAAGCTCCCAAACAGAATATCTACTTCGCCAGATGAGATTCCCTATGTTTTCCTAAAAAAAGCTGCCCTGGGCCTTACCTCTCCTCTAACGATACTTTTCAATAGAGCACTGCTCCACGGAAGAAGTGCCTGACCTATGGAAAATTGGATTCGTACGGCCGATTTATAAGAAAGGAGGTGAGAATGTAGTTTCAAATTACAGACCCATTTGTTTAACAGTATGTAAGGCAAATTGATGGAACGGATTCTCTGCCGGAGTATCACCAAATTCTTAGATGAAAGACGATTACTGCACGATGTTCAACATGGTTTCCGTCATCGCAAAATCTACCACTTCTGCCTTGCTATCCACACTACCCCATTGGCAGAGAGAGGTGGATCGGGGGAACTACATATCCGTTTGCTTCGTTGACTGCCAAGGCGTTTGACTCGATTTCCATACCTTTACTATTGAAGAAGCTTATGGCTTATGGTATTGGAGGTCAGCTGCTCCAGTTCCTCAGGTCCTTCTTGTTTGACAGGACTCAAACAGTAGTTATAAATGGTGTGGCATCTTACTCGTATTCCACTCCTAGCGGTGTCCCTCAGGGAACTTGCCTGGGACCCTTGCTGTTTATTGTCTACATTAATGATTTGGTTGAATCTCTTCCAGCCGGCGTTTTTTGCAGCATGTACGCTGATGACTCAAAAGTCTATACTATAAACGATTGCGGGAAGCTACAAACAGCCATAAACATCATTGACAGATGGTCAAGCCTCTGGAAACTCGAAATTTCCGTTACAAAAACAGCAATCATGGGTATTGGGAAAAACCATCCAAATGTCACCTTCTCCTTGTCTGGGAACCAACTTATGCGAATTAACGAAGTGCGAGATTTAGGTGTTGTTTATAATGATAAACTTGGCTTTGACAGCTATATACATGGTATTGTATCAAGTGCAAATTCAAGGGCTAACTTCATTCTTAGATCATTTAGGACGCGTGATCCTCTTCTCCTATTTCGGCTTTTCGTCCTTTACGTCAGACCTATACTCGAGTATTGCTCGCCCATATGGTCGCCGCAAAAAAGTCGCTAATCGACGAGATCGAAAAAAGTCCAAAGAAGTTTTACGTACCGGTGCTTCATTCGTAAAGGTATCAGCTCGCTTTCTTATGAGCAGCGTCTTCGGAAACTTGGGACCGATTCATTAGAATTCACAGGCGTTACTGTATTCGACTATGGGCTACTTTATAAAATGACAACAGGAGAGACTTCCTTGAAATTATGCGACCTATTTGAAATCCCGCCTACCATTGGTGTCACTAGGGGTCACTCTCACCGTGTACGACCATATAAGCCTAACACGCGCTTTGAGAATATTCTTGTAGCGAGTATGGTTAATCTTTGGAACAGCTTAGAACCTGACTTTTTCAGATGGAAGCACGCCTCTTTGTTCCAGAGTCATCTTGCCTATTATCTCAAAAGTCCCACTAATTCTGCGCCCAACGAAAGTCTTCAACTGTCTTCCAGTAAGGTTGATCGATAAGTTCGTAATAACTTCGTATAGCATACATTATACGAGACTATCCGAAGTTATACGATTTTTAAGGACGAGAAGCGATAGCTCATGTTCATTCTTGTTCCCGGGACTTTGTTTAAGCCTCTGATTAATGCTGCCTTTTTTTTTTGTGACCCAATGTACTTGGGAAAATTGTTCTGTTCAATTATAAGCTGCTGCTGTATCCTCTTCTTTGAATGCCCTTCTCTTCGTGGTTCACTCTGTTTCTGTTATTTGCACTGTTGGTTCTTTTCCTGCCTTGCCCCCCCCCCCCCCCTCCTTCGACCCTCGACCTAAATGCCGCTGTGGCACGTGGACTTCAGCAAAGTTGGCGGACCTACTACGATGGTATCCGGAGTTCTCATTGCGCCCGTGAGAACTTGCAGTGTTGGCGGCCCACTGCCCTTCTGAGCTGTCCTGTCACTCCACTGCTCGGCGGCTACCCCCCCCTCTATCCCTTTTGCTTATACAACTTGCTCGCGCTCTACGACTATTTTGAATACATGTGATGCTCAAATGTTCATTGTATGAAATTTTTCTTTCGTTCCTTCAATGTTCTCGTTCTATCGGTACTTGAGTTTTATTGTACGAGCCACCTTGTTACAACGATGAACTGATAGTAATAATAAAATAAATAAATAAATAATAAAGTGCGCTAGACTCTTATAAAGACCTTCACAGCCAGCAACTCACCTACAGTAACCAACTATGTTGGTCATGAACTGCTGGATCATTTGGACTTTCGCTGCGTCTCCTGCAGCTCGAGCTGCCTGCAGCTCCGTGATGGCAGCAAGAAAACGCTCTCCAAGCTTGTTCGCTAGTTCGCCGATGTAAAGAGACTGAAAGTTCATAGTGCAAGCCAAATAGCGGAGATTTCTGAATGATTACCTTTTGTTCCACTCCAAGTTCACCGAATACTATAAGTGTTCCGGTTGCTTCGAAAATGAATCTATGGCATGAGTCGGCCGTGAGCAATCTGGTCAACATGTAACGTACATCGCTAACCAACGGAGGGCTACATACGAGGTGATCACCTGCAACTACACCTTTTGGATCCATCCAGTAAGGGATTTCGTGCGACACTTTGCGACACTTATAGAAGTTCTGCGAAGATGGAGGACCATTATCAGGCTTGTTATTTAATTATTGGTTTTGAATGCACATCGAAGAATATCAAAAGTGGCAATCGCATGAACATTACGGATAAAAGACACCCCACAGGAGGCCAAAAAGGGGGTATGGAAATATGAATTAAAATAGAGACAAACCTACGATTAAGTAGGGATAAATTTCGACAAAAATGATGTAATCAGTTTCTAAAAAAGCAAAAAAAAAAAGAATATCTGACCTCAGAAACTAGAGGACTAAGCACCGTCTTGTGAGCTTTAACAAATCGACAGAAAAGGTAGACAATGCGAGTTCGAACACGGGCGACTCGAAATGCTATCCCCCTAGAGGGGAAAATAAAAAAAAATGAAAAAAGCAACCGAAAACTGCTCTAAAAACCATCGCAATTGTAAATCAATAATTAGAGCAATTACCTTTCGTCTAGGAACGCTGCTGCAACTTGTGGTATCACAAGTTGCGGAGCCTGTGGGGGGGGAGCCATAAGCAGGCGTTCGTACCGACAGGCGATCTGAAAGCGATGAAATGATGTTAACGACCATATCTGGATGACTGGAGCCAAGACGGAATTTTGTACACAGTCTCAGAAAAAAACGAGTACGAACTTTTACTATATAACTACATGACACTGTAACCGAAACAGCGAAAAAAGAAACCAAAAACGACTTGGAATTATTTAGAGAAGGAATGACCACTTTACCTCGAAGTACAAGACATGGACAGTAGCTGAGCGACCGTCCAGTTGCATAGAGTTCAGCAAATTGACTGGTAACAGCGCACCGCGACCCATCCATCCTTCCTTCATATTGACGAAATTTGCCTGGAAAAACACAAGCTTGCTAGTAAAAATACCAGATGGAAAACATCTGCTATAGAACTGTTGACATTACTGAAGACTGAAGGCTCGTTTAGAAGAAATTTGGTAACAACTAAATAACTTACTGGAATAATCTCCACCAAGCCATGTACCAACTGAACAATCGCTTCTAATCGTGCAATTGGCATTGCTGTACCACCGCCACTGGCCGCCACTTCCTCAACTAGAACTTCTAGCGGTGCTACTATGAGGTCGCAGCGCTGAAATTTGGAAATACTATTTACTCCTAACATTTTCTAAAAAGAATTTGCGCTCTCACCATGTTTCCGATCGTATTAAGGATTCCACGCAGTTCTTTTCTGTACTCAGCAAATTCGATTTCATCTTCACCCGATCCATCCACGTCCAGTTCTTCGCTGATCACGAAACGTCGTAAGCATACCGACACGATCTTCGTTAACATGCTGGTCGCTTTCTAGAAAATCGACGGCTACTCAAGGCGCCAGACAGAAATCAATCTCATTCGATACAGATGTGGGCGAAAAGGAAAAAAGGCAATATCATAGCATATCTGCGCGGCTAGATACAGTCGTGTGGACGTAAATCACAATTACACGACTGGATGAGATAGATGACAAAAAGGCAGACTCTGCCGCAATTATCAGTTGAATGGAAAGTGTCACAACATGCTTTGATTCTTTCAAAAACTTTTCAATTTTCAAAATTTCAAAATTTTCAAAAAATTGATCTACTTACCTCGTCTGTACAACTGTCCTTGAAAAGGGCCACATACGAGCGTATGGTGAAGATGACTAGTTCACTGAGTTCAGGATCTTCATTGTCCAGCACAAGAAGCAGCGAATCCATGTCTGTTTCCACGATTTTGATACAGCGCTGAGCGTCTTCGGTAGCATCTTCAGCTTTGAATCTATAACACATTGTCTGCAAGTGTTAACGAAACATAAGATTCCGCTGTAACTTATTCAACTTTGCTTTTTTCTACGTACTATTTCATCCGTTCCTACTAGTGTTTACTTCTTGTACGCCTGGTCACCCTTTGAGTTCTCTTATTTCCTCCACTTCTTAGCTTCGTTCTTCTCCATTTTTTTTATATTTTGTTCTGGTTTGTATCGTTATCAATGTTATCAGTGTTGTTGTTTTCCTGACTGTTTCTTTTAAATTTGTTTCATGTACGCAAGGTACATGTACTATAAATAAATAAATACTCCAATAAACATAAGATTACGGTGTAACTTATTCAACTTGGCTTAATAATTGTTTTTGTTATGTTCGGTTGTTTTTTTTTCTCTTTTTTAAACTTCACTTGATGGGCGTTGCCCAGTGTTTGAGCCACAACTGACGGCATGTTTCTTTAGACTAAATAAATAATAAATAAATAAATAAATAAATAAATAAAGTTCATTACAAAATCAAAAGTAATCAACCTTTGAAAAGAACGCGGACGTGACCCCCGAAAGTGAAATATATATGGGTGACTTTGCATATTTCATGAGTTGTGCTTCTCTTCAGATAAGGGGCTACTGAATTAGTATTTTTTGTTATTACATTGACTATTTTTGCGATGCATTAAGATTTTACTTCCCTTCAAACATAGTTACTCGGCAAAGTTGGAAAAGTTCAGGTGACAACCCTTTGTGTTATGTTCGCTCCCCGCGCTTCCACTTTTAGTGCAGTCACAGTGCCGCTGTAACTATCTCCTGCGTGTAATCACGCGCTCGTCAACTGTCAATAAAGGGCCTTGTTCTCAGTCGATGACGGTGCGGACTTCGTATGCTCGAACTGGAAAGCTGCAAGCCTTCCAGCAAACAGCCCAACTCCCACATTCTGGGAGAGCCCCATGCCATAAATCTCTCAATATTCTTCGAAGTGAAGGAGCAGAAATACGTCAATCAGTCGAAAAAGGAGGTGAAAATGAGCATGCAAAGAGAATGTCATTCCCCTTGATTGACATCAATAAATCTCCAGCCGACACGAATCCCGACAAGAGAGAACGATAAACTCTCGTTATCACCTACATGTTCTGCTCTCCTTAGCAGCAAAAGAACTTCGCGCGAAAAGCGATCTTGGGAAACGATTAGGGAAATGAGACATGCTCCGTACGGGATGTGAACAAAAAAAGGAACAGCAAAAAATACGCGATGAGTCGAAGCACGATATGAACTACTCCCGCAATCCCGTCTTTGTCGCTGACAAATCGGGTCATCTCATTTCTCCCAACCGAACAGATCGTACATCCACACTTTCACCAATCAGCACACACATTCGCAATCCACTATGTTATTGCCGTCAATATTGATACTGTTAGGTATCTTCACATTAACGACCGCACAAAAGACCCTCGTCTACGCCTGCGAATCCCTAATATGCGATCCACCAAAAATGTGCATTTTGCAGGACCAGGTGAGCTACAAAATAAACTATCACATATTATCCAAAAAACATTTTCACCTTCCCAGTTACAGTCGTTTTTTTACGTCAGATTCCACATTTCGAGAAACCATTCATGCGAATTATCAGCTCTAGAAGCATCGTAAATTTCGAGATTCATTTAGATAAACCGATGCAGAAGTGGCACTCATTTCCAGCTGTTATTTCAGCTCACGTGTATTTTTTCCATCTAACTCGTTTTTTTACGCTCAATTCATGAACCGCGTGACTTCGGGCTGAAGAATGTGCGTCGCACGGTTACACGGAAGGGAGGTTTTGTTCAAACTCTTCAGTATTTCTCGTGTCCCATAATTGCAGCACAGTCCCTAGACCATTAAACGTACATGTGAAACTTAAGGATAAGGATAAAGGATAAAGCATTTGCCGTTGATCAATCCCTTTTTGGGATGCGGCACGCATTCTACTTCCATTTGTACATTCGTAGTGGCGTTTGAATGCGATGTGGCCTATACAATGACTTGCGGGGCCAGCCGATGTACAAGTCAGTGTTTTTATCCTCCCAGACAAGTCTGGTACCAATTAACCGACCCCGGAGGGATGGAAGGCTTGGTTGGCCCGGGCGACTCACGACCCAGGATTTGATCCCGGACCGCTCGCGTGGTGAGCGTGCCACTTGCCACTACACCACTTCCGCCCTACATGTGAAACTTGGTTTCAATATTGATTGCTGAGAAAAAAAAAAATGAAAAGGAGACGACGACGGTAAGACATAACAGTTTTGAATATTTCGCTTGACTGATTTCCTTTTGTTCAGTAGACCTCACTGTTGTGCAAATCTCAAGCAAGCAAACAGGAAAATGTTTGATTTTGGCAAAACTCAAAATCAAGAGGACACGGAGAAAAGGGCAAAATTTCCCTCGAATATCTCGTATTTAGAGTACTCTTTTACTTTGCTACACGAACGATTCAACTTTAACCACATTACAGTAAATGAAGTTGCCTACTTCAGGTAGCACAATGCTTGCTCGTTCTTGCACCAACCCCAAGGACACGCATCGACGTTGGGCCGGAACTTACAACACCACTATTAACGCCTCCACCAGCAACACAGGTATTTTTATTATGGTTCTCCTATCTAGCACGTCAAACTTCATAGCAAGAAAACTCAAAAGGCTTGCGGACCGCATATCCCACTTTCTTGAAGACAAAAATGAAAAATACGATTTACAAATAATCTGTGACATTTTCAGCTAGCCACTACACCTCCATTTGTGGGAATTCCTCCAGCCCTTCCTTCTCCTACAATTACAATGCGTGAGGATATTATGTTCAATTTTTCCTTCAAGAGAAATTTCTGACACAATTTCCTTCGAATGGCTCATGAAATTTAACGCTAAACTCACGCCATTCAGAACCTCCCACTACTACAACACCACTATCACCTCTAGCTCCATTACTGAGCCTTCTAAATGGAGGCGCTCCTCCAATCAGTTTACCGACTCTTCCTCCTCCACCGACCACCACAACAACTCCACCTATAGACATTTGCCGACTACCACCCTTGACAGGCACCTGTCGTCACGCCAGGATTATGTGGTCAGTAAAAAAGTTGAAGTCATCAGTAAATTCCTACTAAATCTACTGCGATGCTTCCTAAGAAAGCTACTCTTTTAGGTACTATGACAACGAAACAGGGATGTGCGAGCGTTTCAGCTTCAGCGGTTGCGGAAACCTCAACCGATTCCCGAGCAAAATGCAGTGCGAAATGACGTGTCTCCGACGGGGTCGAAAATAAAAGGAAATAAATATTACCAGCCATATATGAGAATACACCACAATAAATGCATCAATTTCCGAGTACAAATTGGTACCAAAACTCACTTATGGTACGTGTCAATGAGAACACTTCCGACGGAACTCAGAAGCGATCCGGCTCCGCAGAACGTCCTCGTAGTCGCTGTTCTAAACGATAGAGATATGTGAGCGTGACTATATTTGAAAATGAGATGGACATATGCAGTAGATGAAAAGTAACAATGTGGTAGTAAAGTACGCAAGCCACCTTAAACAATGCTTTGTCCTGTTTTTCAGAAAGAAAAAAAACTAAAGGAAATATGTTTTGTTTCGCGAACATGAAACATAAACGTACCGGATTGACATTGATGAGATTGTTGTTTCGCATAACGTCTGTCAAAGCAGTAACCAGTGATAGTTTCTTTGAGGGTGGCATACCTTTTTGAATCAGAGCAGAGACAGCACGCACTGCCGCCTAAGCACCAAAAGATTGCCATTTCATAATTTAACACATTTGAGTACCCCAAAATAGCCAGAAAAAAAAAACGTATTGAAGGCCTTGTTCAAATACAAGAATTGCGAGGAAACGGAGAGGACAGAGGAAGCTAGCCCAATAACTTTAACCCTCACTTCGGATATTTCCTTATTTCCCAGTCGAGCAATTACAAGCG